CACAGGTCCACCCTTTCAGTTGGATCGTTAGGTGCATATATATTTACCAGATAAAACTCATCTTCTTCGTATGCAACCTTAAGGCACACCCACCTCCTATGTTGATGGTCGTATTCGGCCGAAATCGGCTTGAGTCTAGAGGAAGGTGGGAGCCAGATTGCTACTCCTGCGGATCCTCTTTCTCTTGTGGGAGCTTAGTAAATTATGTATGACTAAATAAACTTCGTTTTTGTTGTGTGCGGCAGGGTATCTTGTAAATGAGTTTTCTGGACACACAGAGTCCGACCATCTGCCAGTGATTTGATATTTGAGTATATTCCAAATGACATTTTTTTTTTCACCGATGCTTGGATGAGTCCATTTACGTTGAGCGAACGGATGTCAATGTCCGCTCGAGCCAGCTTTGTGGCCCATTGGGGCGCATTCCTGATACTGGGGAAGACCGGAGGGGATAACAAACGTTGAGCGGGTCGGGGGGGAGCGTTGTCAAACGCATCGGTCTCACGCAAGGCGGGACCCTTCCGACCGCGTCACTCAGGGGTTGGTCTACTCGCGCTATACAAGGATCTTCCGCAAGCCGCTCCGACCGAGTACGCCAACCGACAGGATAAGGCCAACGCGAGGTACAACTTGCCTCCACCTGCGGGAGTTGTCACCTCCCTTCGACTGGCTTATCCCCGCCGAGCTACCAATCCACAGTACGAAAGCTAATCAGTTGCAATTGCAGAGGTGGACCAGCCGAGGGCGTTTCTCGTACGCTTGTAGCATAGGGGGTATGAGTGGTCCCACACCTCTATTAGACCCGGACACGAACCAACGCATTGGGGGGCTGAAGTCCCAAAGCGGGAATCGTCGTCGGTCCACTAGGATGCATCCCACTCACCACACGTTATACCATGCTTAAAACATAAAAATAAAACACACACCACACACACACCACACACACACACACACACACGGAACGACACAAAAGCAAACAACACTCCTAGTCCCTTTAGTATTCAACCCATAACTTTCCAATACGGAAACGCGCAAAACTTAGTGTAAAACCGTACGGAAGCAGAGCCTTCTCATATTCTATGTCTCCGGTTTTCGATTCAACTCGTGTTCCGTGTTGAATTATTCAACGCGCGTTGAATTCGCGCCGAATCCCGTTTAAACGCACTTTAGACGTGAATAAACCGGGTCCGCAATTATTTTTTTCCTGGTCTAAACATAATCCAAAAACAAAATAAAAAATATGAGGTTGTAGGTTTTTTCGAGGACTACAACCCTATATTTTTATTTTTATTTTTTATGTTCGAGTATATTTTAAAAAAAATCAAAAACATAAACATAATGAAAAAAAAAACAAAAGCAAAAATGAAATGAGTGTTTTTTTTTTTTTGTTTCACAAAGATTTTTTAAGAGCTAAAACTAAAAAATAAAAACAAATAAAAAATATAGGGTTGTGGATCTGTCAAAGATGTACAATAAATATATATATATATATACGATATATATATATGTTTTTAACTTCGTATATTAAACAAAAAATCAAAACCATAAAAACAAATAAAAAAAGGAAAAAAAGACACGCACACACACACAAACATAGACACAGAAACACAGACACACGGTCAAACAGACACACAACACACACAACCACATGAACACACACACACAGACACAGAAACACACACAAACACACATAAACACACATACACACAGGGTGCGCTGGGAGTATTAACGTGGGGATGAGTGGGGTAGGTGGCCTGTCTTATCAGGACAACCATTGGCTGCTGCTAGCAGCAATCACCGTGAGTCTGGTCCTTAACCCTCAATACTGGTAGGGTGATGGTCCTGAGTGTTGGTCACACCGAGGTAGGATAGTAGGGAGAGGGGGTGCGCTGGGAGTATTAATGTGGGGATGGGTGGGGTAGGTGGTCTGTCCTGTCAAGACAACCATTAGCTTCTGCTACCAGCAATCACCGCGTGTCTGGTCCTTGGCCTCTGCAACACCCTGGGCTTTCAAAAAAAAAAAAAGGATCTTTTGCTAGAACGTGGAATAATACGTCGGCATATGTTTTGTCTTTTGTGCATGTGGTAAGTAGAGGCCCACGACGTGTCTGCTTTCAAATGTTAAGGTTTGGAACCTTTCTGAATTTTCATTGGTCTGCTGCTGCTTGGGCTTTTGAGTCATGACTTTTCGATTTTGGCATATGATTTCGACTGTGGACTGTAACTCCTGCCACTAGGACACGAATCTGCCCTTTACTCGTGGGATGTGACTCTTCAATATGACTTTGCATTATGAAAGGTGATTTTTGCCCCTAAGATGTGACTGTTTGCTGGGTGTCTGTCGGACTGGACTGCTAAGGTACCCGACGATGACCTTTCTGAAATTAACTAACTCGGCCCTTTCTTGGTCAGGGCCTCTGACCCAGAAACCTGAATTTGGGGTCTGAATCGTGGAAGGTCTTTCAGCATGTGGTGAGTAGAGACCCTTAAGGCCACTGCACGTATTCCTAAGAAAAGAAAAACGAAAAAAAAACAAAATAAAAATGAAAAAATAAAAGAAAAACAAGAAAACAAAGGAAAAACGAGAAACAAAAGAAAAACGAGAAAACAGAGAATTAGTGACCCATAACTATGATGTACAGAGTGCCACGAATCTTAATTCGAATCTAGACTATATATTCTCGGTCCACATAGGTAGATTACAAGTCTAATGTCCATCTCTGCTTCACGAGGGGTCCTTGCTAATCCGTAGGGGCCCTTCGGAAATGAGATTGGATGAATAGATTGGAGCATTTGTATTAAAAAAAAAAAAAAAAAAAAAGGACATGCACTCATATGCACATACATGTGCTCAAAGTGTTGGGGGATGGGGTGACCCCAACTTTTTTCCCTCTTGCAGTTTGATTTTCAGGAGCGAGGGGCACTTTTCGCCACCCCACCCTGTTAATAAAGGTCAAAATTTTTTTTTTTTTTCTTCTTGTTTTTAGTGTTTGGGCGCGTAGGGCCACATGCCTGAGGCCCAACGCACCCATCCCATTTTTTTGGATTCAACGGGGGACCCCCGTTTTTCCGTTAAACGGGATTCAATGGGGCCCCTAGAGCGATTCAACGGGGTTCAACGGAATTTAACGGCCCCCGTTGCTCGTTGTTCGGACACACAACTCATATTGAATTGCAATGCAAGCATACGCAAGCGGTCACAATGATGACGCACTATGAAGTAACTATAATCACGCAGTCCTCGCTAATCTGGAGGGTCGCCTTCGAAACTCAAGTGTCGGCTGATACGCGCCTTGAGGAGTTAATCTCTCGAGGATGGACAACGACCCAGTGTGGTTGAGAACCACACGCTCTTCTGCACTCTGCGGAGAGTGGGTGGTACACAGGTTCATACCTGTGGTGGCAGTTGTCTCTTACCGCCCTGGAGACCAGCTCCATCATCCAAGGTCTGAAGAGAACTGAAAGGGTTTGACTTTGACGGTTGCCATGGACTCTAAGGTCCAACTATAATAATTCTAAATATGAAAAAGTAAAAGAGGATCTCCCTTTTCACTCAAAACAATAATTTGTTTAACCCTTACGCACGATCGCGATAGGTCGCACGAACACTCAATGCATATATATGTACATATATAATCAAGGTCATTAATAAAGGACGATCACTTTTCACAGTCACAGTGAGACTCCTCTCAGTCATATATGTATGTTATTGCAGACAGTCACATCTAGAGTCCGAACCACAAACCATACATGCAATCACATCAAAATTTTACCAAAAGTCCACACACTACACGGGGTCAACTTCAACCATTCTCTGCGCTCATACCCCTTGCTTTAGCCACACAAACCTCTACCTTAGCGCACCCTTCCAACAATAAAGTACTGAGTACCTTTGTTAAATGATCATTCAATAAAGTCCGGGTAAAAATACAACGAAACAATTCAAACCACAGGGCTAAAACCTTTAGGTTGAGTGACAAAAGTGGACTGAAGTTGAACCGTAAACCGACGAATCGGGAACCGACCTATTATCAGTGATAACAAAAGATGATCCTCATGAGATCAAGCTGAATCTAGCACAAATCTTGAATCAAATCAATCAAGAGGACCTGTAACACAAGACAGACCGATTCTCGAGACCAGACTATCAGCGTATGACGGATGAACATCCATAACATATTCTCACTCAAGGTTTTCCTGCAAACTAAGTCTAAGCCTACCTCTAAGCCAGTGTCCAAAGCAAGGTAGACCTATGAGCAACTTTACCAGAATCGCCACCTATTAAAATATAGTCTAACGCCTCTAAAGTAAGAAAATTTTGGCAACGCTTCCCGTAGGAAAAATGTTTTTTTAGAATTTATATTAGCTCCAATATGATAACTGAAATCATCTCTAACTTTCGAAAGTCAAATTCTGTTTAACTCCCTGAATTATAAAAAATTTGGGCAGCATCTCCTTTAGAGAAGTGGACTTTCCAGATTTATACTAAGTCAGATATGAACTCAACATAAGACTTGAGTTTATGTCAGGACAAAATTTAACCAACTCCTTCGATTTGTAGAAATTTTGACAGCGCTTCCCATTGAGAAAGTAGCTTTCCAAAATTTATACAGTGCTAAGTTCAGACCCTGAAATAACATTGACTTTCCAAAGTTAAATTTTGCTTAACTCTCTGAATTAGTAAAAATTTGGACAACATGTTAATCAACTCCGTTGCCGACTGCCTGCGCCTTGGTCCCCTGCCGGGGATCGGCGCAAATTATTTTTCTAAGTTGGATTTGAAATGGGGATATCATCAAATCTCGATCCGGCCGAATGATTGCTACAAATCCGCGTTCAAGACGCGGTATGGGCATTTTCAGTGGGTGGTCATGCCTTTTGGCCTCACCAACGCCCCGACGACCTTTCAAGCGGCAATGACCAACGAGTTTCGTGCAATGTTGGACTGATTCGTGCTGGTCTACTTAGACGATATTCTCGTCTATAGCCGAACATTGGAGGATCATCGTGGGCATCTTCAACGAGTGTTGGAGATGCTTCGCCGCGCCAAGTACAAGGCCAATCGCGACAAGTGCGAATTTGTCCGGCAAGAGCTGGAATACTTGGGCCATTTTGTCACACCGGAAGGCATCAGTCCGCTATCGGACAAGATTCAAGCCATCCAAGAGTGGTCGGAGCCTCAGAACATCACGGATGTTCGTTCGTTCCTTGGCCTCACCGGCTACTACCAGCGTTTTATTAAAGGCTACTCGAAGATCACGACCCACTTTACCGAGCTTCAATGCGAGGATCGGCCGTTTGACTTCGGAGAGGAGGCACGAGAATCATTTTTGGCTCTCAAAGCCGTGCTATTATCAGCAGAGGTCTTGCGCATATACGACCCATTTTTGCCTACGCGCGTCACTACGGATGAGTGCGGCTATGGCATTGGTGTCGTCCTCGAGCAACATGATGGTGTGGACTGGCACCCGGTCGAATACTTCAGCAAGAAAGTGTCTGTCGTGCATTCCATTGACGATGCACGCAAGAAGGAGCTCCTCGCCTTCGTCCACGCGCTCAAGCGGTGGCGGCACTTCCTCCTTGGTCGAAGCCAATTTCGATGGGTAACGGACAACAATCCGTTGGTCTTCTATAAGACCCAAGACACCGTCAACAGCACCATCGCTCGATGGATGGTTTTCATCGACCAGTTCGACTTCTTTCCCGATCACATTCCCGGGAAGTCGAACCGTTTTGCGGATGCTCTTTCACGGCGTCCGGATCACGACGACCTGCGGAACAGCTTCATCCGCGGTTACCAAGCCGACCCCGAGTTTCGCGACAAGTACGCGAATTGCTCCTCTCCTAATCCAGCGCCTTCTCACTACCGGATCCAAGAGGGGTACTTGCTTGTCCACACGCGGGGGAAGGACCTTCTTTGCGTACCTAGTGATCCTCACTTGCGTACACTGCTTCTTGGCGAGTTCCACGATGCTCCCGCCATCGGACACTTTGGAGTCAATCGCACGATTGGCCGACTTCGTGAGCGATTTTGGTGGCCCGGCCTTCTTCGCGACGTCACTCACTATTGCGAGTCATGCGAGGTTTGCCGACGCTGCAAACCCCGCAATCATTGTCCGTACGGCGAGTTACGACCATTACCGGTCCCGTTGAGGCGAAGGGAAGCGATTGCCATGGACATTACCGGCCCGTTCCCCAAGCACAAGACCGGCGTGGATAGGATTCTCACGGTGGTCGACCGACTCACCAAGTTTGCCATGTTTTTGCCTTGACGCTATCTCTACGCCGGTTGGATTCGAACCAAGGGTTACCCCAAGGAAATCGTCTGCGACCGCGACACTCGGTTCATGTCCGATTTTTGGTTGGCGCTCATCAAGCGATGGGGCTCATCTCTCAAGCCCAGTTCAGCTCGCCACCCTCAGACCGATGGCCAAACGGAGAGGGCGCATCAGACCGCACAGGTTCTCCTTCGCACTCTCATCCGTCCGGACCAGAAGGATTGGGTTGAGCGGCTGCCGGATGTCGAGTTGGCCTGCAACTCTTCCATCCGCCCGGCTATCGGGATATCCCCTTTCGAGTTCGAGCACGGCTCGCCGGTCACTTCGTTGGGGGACACCATCACTCCACGAACGGCCGAGAGCGACGACCATCTGCTTTTCTTGCGTCGGATGCAAGACCTACTTGTCAAGGCACACGACCAGATGGCCAAGACGCAGCAACGCATGAGCCAGCAGGCCAACCGCCAGCTTCTTCCTTGCCCATTCCGCGTCGGCGATCTCGTTTGGGTCTCCGCAGCGGAATTCAGCCTCGAACAAGACATCTCTCGCAAGCTCCTCCCGAAATGGATGGGACCCTGGCCGATCGTGACACCCGCTGGATATGCACCTGAAGGACCTTCCTGCACCATTCAGGTGCCCACCCACTTGCCCGTCTACCCGGTCTTTCATTGCTCCAAGCTGGCTCTGTACACACCAGCAGACCATGACGAATTTCCCGGGCGACGAGCGCAAGACCCACCCTCTATGGACGGTTTTCAAGAGGTTAGCGGTATCGTTTCCCAGCGCCGCTACGGCAACAGGCTGACTGAGTATCTGGTCCATTTTGCATACTGCAGCCACAGAGCTGACCGTTGGTTGACCCGTGCGGAACTGCAAACGACAGCTTCAGACGTTCTCGCACACTACGAACGCAAGATGCAAGGCAAGCCGGTATCTTCGGCTCCACGCCGCACCCGCGTTTCTGTTCCACCTTCAGACCGTCAGTTTCGCCCCCGGCCCAGCTTGACTTCATAAGGAGGGGGGGGTGTTACATGCTGCGCCTGCACACAAGGGCCATTTTCCAGGCCCTGCGTCCCTCAGGCTGAAAGCCTGAAATTCAGGCTAAAAGCCTGAAAACCAGGGCCTACAGGCCCCGTGTCTGTTCAGCTCGAAAGCCTGAAATACAGGGGCCTGCAGACCCTGTGTCTTTTCAGACTAAAAATGGCAATAGCCTTTTTAGCGTGAAACGAAGGGCCATTTTCGGTCGTTCATCAGAATGACCGGCCCTGAAACTCAGGCACCGAACCAGGGTTTCGGGAACAGGCTATTCTTAGCCTGTTCCCACGACAGCCTCAGCAGATGCTGCAGCTCCAGCCCCTGGCACACTTCGGCATTCGCAAGAGCAGCCTCCTCGGCCTGGCTCGCCCTGCAGACAGTCAGGAGGCAGGCCGAGGTAGTACGTAGGGACTTCCCATGCACTTTACGAGGAGGCAGGAGGCAGTAGTCTTCAGGATTCGGCAGCAGCACTCTGGAGGGAACGCTGCAGGAGTAGTAGTAGCGTTAGCCTTAGTCTTCAGCGCTGGGCGCCATAGCTAGGATAGCACTAGAGAGAGAGAGAGATTGGGTGGAGGCCAGAGGTACCTACCTGCAGCGCCGTTGCTCCAGCTTCGTCTTTGAGGTACCTGCAGCACAGCGCCAACTTCACAGGTTAGTACCTGGCTCGTAACAGAGAGAGAGAGAGAGTTCTTCTTCTTCCTCGTCTCAGTCCACCATCTCCTTCTCACCCTCTCATCATCTGACTTCACTGCATCAGCAGACTACGATAGAAAGAGAGAGAGAGAGCTTGGTGATATTGGATCCAGACTCGACTTTTGGGCTTCAGACGTTGCGGCGAGGGATTATTTGGGACTTGCGATAAAGACTTGGTGTTGACGACATTCCCATCTCTCCCCCTCCTCTTCGTCTGATCCCCTCCTCTTCGTCTGTGTATGTCTGGACCTGGCGCTTCCTTCCTGTGTACAGCGCCAGGCTCCTTCACACTTTGTGATGGACACGATGTA